TAATTGATCACAAATTATTTCAAGACAAATCAAAAAATTTATATGCCTCAGTTTATTTCGTTGGTCACAGATCAAAAAAATTATAGGTCACGGTTTATTTATCAGTCTCATATTTTCAAATTTATTGGTCACAAATTATCGAATTTTAAGGTTACAGTTTCATGGTTAGTCATAATAAACTAAATAGTTGGTCACATACACCAAACACCCCACCCCATCCCATCCCATCCCACCCCGATCCCCATCCGCCACCAGCACTTGGTCACAAACGCTATCCCACCACCTCCCCCACCAACACCAACACCACCGCCACCACCACAGAAACGCACCAGCACCGACACCACAGAAACGCACCAGCACCAACACCACAATCTGCAAACCACTAACAATCACCTCCACAACAACCATGACACCACCACCAAATGGCCTAAAATTTTACCACCACCACAACCATGTCACAAACCACTACAACCACAACATCACCTCCATCAACACCAACAACCACGGCATCACCTCCATCAACACCAAAAACAACAACCAACACCGAACACAATAGCCTGGAACAGCAACCAACATCATGTCTCGAGACTAGGCGCAGTGGCTCAGCTGCGGTGCCTTCGAGTGCGCCGCTTTGCACAAAATGCGACGGCAGATCTCTGCTGCTATGTGGGAAGCACGACGACGATGGTCCCGAGAAGGCACGCCACGATATCTACTTCTCCATTGAGTCTGGCAATGGCGAGAAGACCACAACCACCACTATCGAATTAAATTGATCTAGTCAACTGCCAATAAAAACCACAACTACCACCACTATTGCACTACCACTACCACCATTAACAAACCACATCATACCACAACCACCACCCAACAAAAAACCATAGATCTGCACGCAGATATGCCGAGGTTTGTTAGATCTGGTGGTGGCAGTTGCCTACGGCGGCCTTCTTTCTAGCGAGCTTCGATTTCGGACAGAGAGAGAGAGAGAGATGAGAGAAAAAGAGTGAGTGAGTGAGTAGTGAGAGAAAATTAGATTGAAAATGAATTAGGGTTTATTT